TCTCCCAGAGAATATTGATTTATCTGCATCTATTAGCAAAGCATTTGGCATGAAAGAAGAATCATTAAACATTTAGTAAGATACACCACTGTGCTTTGAAGAATAGCATTCTGCCGATGTTAAAACCCGGATCATGTCTCTGTAGCTATTAGGCAACGAGTGAGCATGTTTTTGAGTCCCAGACATTGCTTCTTTTTACAGTTGCAAGACTGTAAAAGTCACAAAACTATGAATAATTTATATTTACTGTGCAAAAGGTCTTGCTTGGAAATTGGAAATAGGTGCAGCAATTTACTGAAACATGCAACCATTTATGGAAATACAGTATATAAGGGGGGAAATGGGGTTTGTACAGTTGCAATGACCTTGAAAATCGATATATGATACGACCACCTTCATTCTATTGTTTTGAACCTTCACACGACCTTTACTATCTCAGACAAGCTTTCTTGTAGTTTAAGTAGTCTTCAGGAATACTTCATCAAATCTCTTGAAGGACACCGAAGCTATTCCTTGGATGTTGGCTGCCTCTGTGCTCTCTGTCAAGATGATTTGGACTCTGTCTATATAGGTATTAATAGAGTAATAACACTGCATTAACATTGTGTTTGGGATCGTTTTCATGCTGATAAATGACGTCACTGCCATCCAGATGCTTTTCTGATTGCATGCTGGATCTACGTTCCTTTTCGGCAACGAGTTTGACAAGATTCCCAACACCAACGTTTGGAATACAGCCATACACCATGACAGAGCCTCCACCATGTTTTACTGATGGATGTAAACACTGACCTCCTCTGTATATGTTGATGATAATTTGAACCAAAAGTTTCAAATTTTACAATAAGACCTGTTGCTACTTATTTTCAGTGCAGCTCTTGTGTAATGTGGCATACTGCACCTGCTTCCCTTCCTTAAGAATGGATTTCTAATGAGCAGATGGATAAACTCAAGGACCTGATGCATACTCTGGTCTTTACTGGTATGCTGTAGATACTAAAGCCATCTGCTGCATATTGTTTATATGCTGTGGATAGTTTTTTAGCCATGCACCTTCTTCCTCTGTCCTCCATTGTCCAGTTTTCTCACATTTTTAAGGACAAAATGAACACCATGCTTTAACTAATAGCACTTTTCGAATCACCTTATAAGTGCAAATAAATTTTTTTTATATTATACGTTTATGTTAACTCTGTTATATTTGGTGTAATACAAGGATTGGACTAAAAATGAGTGAAAAGGCGGCCAACTTTAAAGAAAACCTGAATGAATATTGCTTAAGACCACTTAAAAGTAACAGCTTGGCTCCTTGGAAGCAAAATATAAAAATATGAGGGGACACTCAAGACTTTGCACAATATTGTATTGTCTATCCAAATACCTTGAAGTATATTTGTTTTAAAACTTCCATTAACAATAACATTAATCATACCTGATCAAATTACTAGATAATTTTTCAGCTTTCTCCGTTATATCAGCCAATAACAGAAGCTGTCGGAAGTCACAGCCGTTTTATAGAAAGATATCCGAGTGTATGTGGTGAGACTCAACAGGGAGACTGAGGAGAAGCCGACATCTATCGAGCCCATCAGTGACAGAATATAAGACAGGATGCTCCAAAGAGAGAGAAAAGACAAAGCCTGTTGGATCCTGGCAAAGTGATAAGTGCCTTGACCACAACAGTCATTACACCATCAGAATTAAATGATAAGATCCAATTACCAGCTAATTTAAACCGCCGGTCAAATATGAGAAATAAAAGATGGAAAAAGGATTTTATGTTGTAATGGCTTTCTGCAGGTGAAAATGGAAATGAGAAAATCTTGCAGATATTAAATAGGGTGGTATAAATGACCTGCCTCCATAAAAATAGCTCATTGCCTCATTAATCTACAAGTATTCCTGCCCTTTTCACCAACATGACTAGTGGAAAAGTACCAACTTAGGAATACTTAAATATACTGACGCACTCCTTTAAAGTTTGTTTTTGCAGCTTAATCAATCTATGAGAAATAAAGGCAAGTCTGCACAGCCTACATTGTCCTCATCCGAACAGTAGGGGTCTTGTACTCTAATTAATCTGACTAGTCTCTCTGCTGAAGACTGGATCAGTTTGCAGGACTGCTGCATTATTCAACGTAGCCACGGGTAAGAGAGGAAGTCTGTGGTCTGGAGTCACCTTACTCTGAGCTAAGGAGCAAAGCAAGAGATGGAGAAAACGATGAGGAAAAGACATTGAAAGTAATGGAAAATGAGCAGGGTGTGGTGGAGGGTATGATTAAAAGAGATAGGAAAAGAAACAGGGTGAGGGATCAGAAAGCGGGTCAGATCAAATGGTCAATGCGGTTCAGGGTGACGGGAAAATGTTAAAAGATCACATCCGCATGAGAAACCGCAGGTGGGTCAGAGGGATATAGACAGAAAGTCCATCTTTTGCCATCAGGTCTGCGCTTCTGTTGACAATCCGATCATGAAACCACGTTGTGTGTTGGGGTTTTTCAGCCGTGTATGTATTTGGTACAGAACATCCAATAAAGGCTGCGACAACGTCTTTTTTCCCCCCATTGTTCATTTATTGTTAATCGTTGGTATCGCTCAAAAGAAAGATCTTTCTACCCCGATATACATCTCTCTTCTTATTTTCTTTCATTAAATACACACCATGTCCCCACAAATACAATGATCAAAAACACAGTAGTCATGTACTGTTGGTTCATACAGAAAACAACAAGTGAAATCAAACATCCTGTGTTGGCAGTTGTCACTCAGAAATAGTCATAATAAAAAGCTTTGGAATGGTAAAAGTATAATGCACTCACAGTCGTGGCTAAAGGTTGAAACAAATCATATGGATCGGTTATTCTGAATCACTGAAATGAAATGCAAAGCTTAACGAGCGCCCGAACACGCCTCATGAGCCGCTTCGCTCGCAGCGCTGGGATGAACGCTCGTCGTTAAAAGTTCTGACAAAAACTCACAAAATGCTCATTTACAGCAACATTCAGCTTTATGGTTATGTTGTGGTTACTTACTATACGTCTTTACTCTGGGCAAACATATAATATATTATTCACATAACATAATATACATCTGTATATACATATTCCTTCCACCCTTAACAAAAAAAGTGTCCAGGCACTTCCTTCAGCAATCTTTGCCAGATCACTGACTACAATGTAGCTACCTCATTCTTCTTCCTCATCACAAACAAGCTGCTCTATTTGAGAATCTGTGGGAGTCTGGTGATGTTTGTATACTGTTAGATTGCTCACATATTCTGGTTATCCCACCTGAACCAGAGTGTGAGCTGCAAACTAGCAGCAGGGTTGCCTTTCTCAGCTTCTGCAGGCTTCAAGCTGTCTCTCCTTGTTCATTAGGATATGTCCTGGAGTGATACCTTTACCACCCTCCCTGAAAACCTCTACTTAAAGGAGTCTCGGGAGATGTGTTGGCGCATAACATATTTTAAAAGGCCTATGTTTTAAAATATCTCTAATGGAGCTTATTAGAGATATTTTTGTGGCTATAACGCAAAAAAAAATCTCTTCCTCTGTGTAATGGGGTCTTTGCAAGAGCATGTTTCAAAGTTGTCTCTGATCATTATGTGTATCACAAATCCCAACCTGACTGCTTCTTACATTGATTCAGGCATGAAGAGTTCCAGTGCTCTCCAGGCCCTGGCCAACAGCTGAAAAGAGTGGATTTGTTTATCCATCAACTCTGCGGTAAGTCAGCAGCAGGGTATGTGGCCAACAGCTTCTTACTTTTACTACTTTTTTTAAAACCACATTTCTGCAATCAAAAAAATATGTTCAGCAATGAGCGGTGACCCAAGATGGCACTCCCACCATCTACCCCATCTTAGTGCCCCCTACCCCCGATTTTCTTTTTGCTTTTCTTAGACTTTTTTTGTTTTTACAGCACAACCAAACGCCTCGGACAATGAATGAGTAGAAGAGGTGCAGACTGAGACCTGTGTGACCGCACCAGTTCAGACACTTCACCACAGCATTAATGGCGCATCATTTTCACACCAACACTGTGGCATCTCGATGCCTTTCAAACAGCTTTCGCCATCCTCTCCTTTTGCTGTCTTCGGTGAGTATAAAGTACAAACAATCACTTCAGAGCGAGAACATTAGCTGATGCAGTACATAGTGTTTGTTTGTAGGCATATATCAAGATGAAGCAGTAGAACAAAGCAAAGGATTCAAGTCAGTCAGTGGGATTGGCACCGTGACAGTAACGAGACAGGAATCTCCCTCGGTGGCACCAGGCTCAGTGCCAGTAACGCCCACCTGTAGCACACATGGTAATCCAGCACAAACATTATGGGAAAATACAACACATTGCACTACTGTACAGTTCTGCATCAATACTGTTGAATACTGGCTGGTCTGCTTACAATATAGGTCTCTTAAAATCTCTTGTTCTTGTTTTCTACCCCAGGTGAAAAACTTTATCGATTATTTGGTGGTTTCAATAAATCTGTCCTATCATTAGAGAATAAGGCAGTTTATGGTATGGTAGATAAGTCATGCCACGAGCACAGTGGACCGTTATTTTATGTAGCTCTTCCACGTTTAAATAATGCTGCTGTAACTCCAGAATTAGATCCAGCGTCTTCGGTTTGTACGAATGAAATGATGAAACACAGCCAAGTGACCCTTGCTTTGAAGAGAGAGGTCCACATTGCAGCTCCAAATATTGTTTTGCTGCTACAGAAACCCTTAGCACATACAAGATGTAGTCCAAGAGGCAAATAGACCGAGAAAAGCACAAAAAAAAAATATCAAAGAGATAAACATCACCAACAAGGAGGAAATCACAGCTGTACATTAAAGGTTAAAGTCAGAACCTTGACCATGTTTTTTTTCTTTGCTCTCGTTCCTCTGCAGTCCTTTCAAAGCCAACTTCACAGGTCCAAACATTTAAGTAGATGGGGGTCACCGGGTGACCTTTGTCTCCAGCGCGTGGGAATTTGCTGCTGTCGTAAACGTTTAGTTGCTATCTGCCTTCAAAGCAGTCCAAGTACTCAAGGACAAGTCATAGCAAAATCGATACTGGTCCTAAAGAAACAAAAAGGAAAAACACAAAACTAGAGTCAAAAATCTCAAATGTATTGAATTTGGGTTTTTTTTCAATTAATTTACAGACTAGACTAAACTTCCATACCAGAGACTCGACCATGTTGGGTTTGCAGTTGCGTAGAGTTTTGACAGCATAGAATACGTCTACCATGTTCTGATACTGGATCATCTCGATGAGGATGTTGCAGGCACAGAAGGTCCCACTACGGCCACCACCATTGCTGTGGAAGAGAATACATTGTCTAATAACTATTACACAGTACAGGCATAAATCAATGCTGCTACTGTACCTATCCAAAGGTATTCATGTGTATATGGACAGTACTCAATGCTCTCTGCCAGATCTGTTCAATCGCTTCATGATTTGGACTAGTTAGAGAAGTTACACAATGCAAACACTGCAGATACTAAGGTAATGAGAGATGATGAACACATGGATCCTTTGCTGCTCATTCCTCCTTTTGAAAGGCAAAGCCATCAATGTACACAAGCAGCATAGCAGCCCTCTCTGGCTGCGCTGATTAAAGCTGTGCTTGTGGATATGGTTAATGTTCAGATGTTACATTTATGGTTCAGTCCATAGTGCTATGGATAGATGCTGCTGTAACTCCTCTTTACTGCTCTAATGGACATTACCCAGAAAGCTCTGCTACAGTTTATGTCAGAGATAACAGTAGCAATTTTAGAGACTTCAGTGCAATAGCACAAACAATCATAAAGAGTCAAAGCCGGACAAAACAAACCAAAAACAAGAAGCTTCTGACAAAAAGCATAACCAGGCTAATCTACAGCAGTGTTTCCTTTCTTCCATTTATCTATTCATCTTCTACAGCTTATCCAGGGTCGGGTCACAGCCAAGTCCAGACCTCCTTCTCCAACTTCGCCAACTCCAGCTTATCCAGTCAACGTAAAGACGTAAACACCCTGACAAGATGAAGATGCAAACTCGCCGCATGTTCCGGGCCTATCCAGAAAACCCAGCCAAGGAAACATCCTAATCAGATGCCTGAGCCACCTCGTTTGGATCAGCTCTACACTGAGTTCCTCTTCTGAGCACAGCCACCGTTTGAAGAAAGGGTTTGTTTCTGCAGTGTCATTCTTTCTGTCATCACTCAGAACTTTGTGATAAGAGGTGAACATAGGGATGTAGAATAACCAGTAAATTGATAGCGATGTTTTTATAGACGTGTCAGCATCACTGCAGATGCTGCACCAGTCTGTCTGTTCACTCTTTCACTCCCCTCCCCTAACTCATAAACAAAAGCAGCTTGTCCCTCAGACTAGAAGGTGCTAATGGTCATTCTGACCACTGCACAACTGTGAGCTGCTCCAGTGCAAGCAGGAAGTCATCACCTGGTGATGGCAAAGGAACCACATCATCTGCAAAAAACAGCGATAAGACTCTGAGAGTGGCATCCTTCTAGCACTTGGCTCCACCTAGAAATTCTGTCCGTAAAGATCACAAACAGAATCAGCCTTGCCCACCATCCGCCAGGGAAAAGTCTGACTTATTGCCGGCAACGATAACCAGGTTCTTACTGTAGTTGACATGGACCGAAAGGCATGTAACAATGTGACAGTAAGCGGTCAAATGCCTTCTCCAAGTCCACAAACCACATGTACACTGGTGGCTCAAACACCCAAACATACTGAAATATTCTTAAGAGGATAAAGAGCTGGTCCAGCGTTCCACAGCCAGGATGAAAACCACATTGTTCCTCCTTAATCCGAGGTTTGACCAACACAGAGTTATCATAGTTTTGTAATTTTTCAAAGTCTAGTTTTTATTTTACTGAAATATTTTTTCACATCTGGTTTCAGTTTTTAGTTTAGTTTTAGTTACCTATTATAATGTTGGACCAACTGGCATATTTATTCTCAATCTAGCGTTTCCCAGGGTGTGAATAAATATGGAGAGATAAGAACATCACCCTCGAAGTAAAACTCACGGCTTTTGCATGCAGCACACATTTCAGTTTTCCTCTACTTGGACGCTCACAGCTGACCTATAGAGGAAGTTCAGTGCAATGCTTATAAAAATGCACGGCATCAATGACTCTGTCGAGGCAGTACAAAAGATTATAATATAAAACACAGTGTTGATAATATCCAAGGATGGTTTGGGTTGCCTCTGGCACAAAACAAGTGCAGGCTAAAAACTGTCTGAGATGGTAAAAGTTGGCCACTCATGTGCCTGCTGTGCTGCCCTGTTACTAATGTCGTGATAATGAAGATCCAAAGATCTTTCAGTACATACATGACCACCAACACAATCGCAGTGTCGGGTCATGCAATCATTTAATGATCCCAGCAGCTGTCTCAATTAATACTAGCTGCTGATGGTAAGACGACTGGTTGATTTAGTTCATCAAGATATTATTCTTTCTCCAAAAGGTACAGATTGTTCCTGAGCACAGGTAAAGGTGCCTGTGGTCAAAGCAGCCGCAGTCTATTTATAATACATACTATATCATACAATATATGGTCCAGAGGGAATGGAAAAACTTAATTAAAGTTAATGCAAGCTGACGAGTGTGAGGGAAAATAACAAATGGGCAGACAAACACAGAAATTTCTACCATGACCCTTCTGGGGCTGTGTAACATTACCATTGCATAATCCTGATATTTAGTAGCTGTTAGCAGTTTCGTGTAATATTTTATTTGAGTTAATAAAAAAGCTAAAGTTTGTTTTTCTTGTGTCAAAGAAAAGAAACATAATACTAAATAACAGTTGTATAACCGTGTAACAGACTGGGTTGGAATCAGTAGTGAGCAAAGAATAGGTGGTTTGTGGGAAGAATGCAAGTCAGAGTTGCTTTGGGTCATCGTGGCTCAAGAGTTGGAAGTTCGCCTTGTAATCGGAAGGTTGCCGGTTCGAGCCCCGGCTTGGACAGTCTCGGTCGTTGTGTCCTTGGGCAAGACACTTCACCCGTTGCCTACTGGTGGTGGTCAGAGGGCCCGGTGGCGCCAGTGTCCGGCAGCCTCGCCTCTGTCAGTGCGCCCCAGGGTGGCTGTGGCTACAATGTAGCTTACCATCACCAGTGTGTGAATGTGTGCGTGAATGGGTGGCTGGTTGTGTAAAGCGCTTTGGGGTCCTTAGGGACTAGTAAAGCGCTATACAAATACAGGCCATTAACCATTTACCGTGGTGCAGTATTTTCTTTCTAAACTACCGGTTTATGTTAGGAGTAGGAGGCCCAAGTGAACGTAAAACATGAAATGAGAGCATTATCGAAGAAAAAAAAGAGGCTTCGTGGCTGTTTTCGCTCATGGGACACTACTGCATAATTTAACAAAGTGTATGCCATGAAATAAACATTTCTTGAAATGGAATATAAAAATTTGGCAAGTGATTGACAAAAAAAGTTCAAGCCTTCTTCATTAATGCATCAAATTAGTTTGATCCTTTGATATAATTTGCAATCTATAATATATACTTAGTCATGCTATTAGTGTAGCACTGTGTGCAGTCAAACTGACCACATTAGCTCAGACTGAAATACAGCACCAATAAATGGTTGGATATTTGTACATAAACATTTTTGATTCCCAAAAGGTATCTGATTGCCGTTGGTGGTCTACTTTTTCCCTTGCACCACTACGAGAGCGACATTTGTGATTCTGAGTGGAATGTTTCAACAGCTACCAAATGGATTGTCATTAAAGCAAGTGCCAACATTCAGGGTGCTTTTTTTCTTATCTGAAACCCTCAATAGGACAGTTTTAGTATATATAACATTTTCTAAGACTTTATATTTTGATGGTGATCACCCTCAAGTGCCCTGAGGCGACAGTTGTTGTGATTTGATGTTATATAAATAAAATTAAAATTGAACTGATCACGGCTGATGTTACTGGCTAAATATCAGGATCATAGGAAGAATAAAACATAGATGCTGTTTCCTGGTCAAATGCAGAAGTGCCTGGAAGGTTTTATTCCATCCAAAAGAAACCAGAGGGCGATAGCTGTGGCTGCAAAATCACTCCCAGTCTCTTAGAAGTTGAGGCAAAAACAGCTTTCTGACTCAGCCTCTTTACACACTTTACTGCTGATTTTATGGTTTCAGTCCCTCATTTCGGGTCACACACAAAAAACCCTCACTGGCTAACAAGCTTCAGCCACAAGTCTTCAGCCCCACTGAGTGTGCATTTTAACATTTTGCAACCAAGAAGGTAATGGTGGAAAAATCCATCTCAAGACTTCAAAATGGGACTTTAGAAACTATGGTGATGTAATTGTAGCTACATCCATTTTTCATACTGTCTGTGATCAGCATGTTAGCTTTATCACGGTGAACGTGCTAGCATGCTTAGACTGTTAGCACCGCTTTAGACTAATACCTTTATTATGAGTTTAATTAACATATGGTGGGCAGTGGGTGCATGTGCAGTACTGTACAGAAGATCCATCCCCCATTTCTTTGTATTATGCTACAGGAGCAGTGATTTCTTGAAAGATGCAAACATAGATTGAAATACAGTGCATGAAGCAAAAACAGAGTTTTTACAGGCAGCTTGAAAGTCAGTATTTGCTACGGCCTCCTTTATTCTTTAACACAGCCTGAACTTTCTTAGGTAGCTTTCTTGTAATTTCTGTAAGTAGTCAGGAATAGTTCTCCAGGCTTTTTGAAGAACATTCAAAGCTCTTCTTTGTGTTGATGTTGGCTGCCTTTTGTTCTGTTCTCCATCAAGATGATCCCACACTGCTTCCAGTGTGGGATCATTTCAAGGCTGGAAAATTAAGCTAGCAACAAAGTGCTAAAACATACAATTTAAATCTGGCATATTGACTCTTGGCTGAGTTGTCACACATAACAGTCAGAAAAAAACTATTTATCTTACGAGACTACTTTAACAGATAACAAGATAAAAATCTGGATCCTTGGAAGCAAAATACAAGGAAATGATAGGAGGCTCAAGACTTTTCCGCAGTACGGCATATATATATCATCTATATGTACTCGTCTTATTTTTCCAGTATGAAATACATGTTTAACTGAATTCTGGAAAACAATAGTAGAGTGTAAGCAGAAAACAAACAGTAATCTGATGACCCTGTATCTGAATTCCTATCTATCTCATAAAAACAGCATTTGTTTAAATTGAAACACAATATGAATATAAAATATTTATACAACATAAGAAGAGCTATATGAGAAACACTGTAAGTAGTTTGAAATTGAGAAATAACACAATAGTGTGGCATTTTTGCCTTGTATACTCGCCCGGTCATCATAAATGTAAAACGCTATCAATAAGCTGATGAAGGACAAGCCACTTCCTCTCTCCTGAGACAAACGCAGCCAGGTGGGCCTGGGAGATTCTGCAGTGTATAGAAGCAATATTAAGGCAATCAATCGTCGTCAGTGCTCTGGCAGTGCTGGATTTAGTGTAGTGAGAACCATCGCATTCTGTATTAAGCTATAATTGATTTGATCTCCATAATCTCTTTCCTGGTTGTCGTGGGTAACACTGTGTGACAGCACTGAGTGATGTGCTTCTGGATGGGGGCGGTGGGGATGAGCGTGTGATGGGTTGGCAATGAGCTGGACGGCCCATTCATATTCATCAGCAGGGTGTGCTCTCCGGGGCTTTAGGACAACACAGACGCATATAACACCACTGACTTCACAGCACAGCACGGCGCAATTTGATTTTCTACAATATAAATACTGCCATGACAAATCACGCTGCATCTCACTGTGCCAAATCGCACATAACGACACAAAAACAAGGCAAGAATCGGTTGCCAATTTTACATTTCCTATGTTTTTTCATATACTTTTGCGACATCTCCCACCAAGAAAACGGTGTCGGCTTAAAATGCAGTCTTCAACAGCAGCAAGAGCTTTTCAGAAATAAAATGGGCACATTACTGCCTTCTGTATCAATCTGCGTGACGCATGCTGCTAAAACATTACTCACAGGCAGTGCACAACTGTGCGTCCTTCTCCACACTCCCTTTGCCACTTGTGCACTTGAGCCAGCAGGTTGAGGAAAGCCTTCTTGGAGTCTGGAACGTCGCGATATGCCGACCAGCGCAGAAACTGGAACTGACACATCACCAGCTGGCCCTCTTGGAGCTTCAGATACAAGAGAAAGCACACAACACACATATCTGACACCATTGTTCTCTTTTGCTGAATATATGTATGCATGTGGCAAATAAATTGTTCTGGGTGTTTCTGTACATCTTGTGTGGTAGCCAGTTAGAAGCTACTTTTGAGTGCTCCCCAGGCTGTGTGTTGGCATTCGGCGCTGTGCTCACTCAGCAGCCTGACTTTGAGATATATGGGTCTGTGGGAGTAAGAGGGGCCCGCGCTGTGTCTGAAAGAGGTCCCTGTGTGTTCATAACCTTGTCCTGTAGAATCTCACCCAATACTTAAGGACCAGCGGAGAACTGTAAGTCATGCAAATTGGGCCGGCAAAGACACCAACGATGCATGGAGGAATTGCCTCAGTGGAAGCGGGATTTACACAGTGTGCTCTTTTTTGTACAAACCACATATCCGTACATATGCTTACAATGCACTTCCTTTGACTTTTACTCACTACCCTTGTATATCATTGTCAGGCAAAGGAAATCTACTCACTAATGCACAGAGAGGGGCTGAGTGAGGGAGAGGTGTGCGTTATTTTTGTGTGATTGTATTCCTTCCATGCTGTGTTAAGTTGCCCTCTCCCTGACTGTGATGTGCGCTGAGTAGAAAAGAGGTGCCATAGATAGAGAGGGGAATGACGGGGGCAGTCGACACAGGAGGTGAGGATGCCAATCAAGACAGGAAGTTCTGGGCACCGCTTGTCGTGCTGCTTTTAATGGCATAGGGGAAACGCCTTGCATACAGATTTCTTTAGTAATTGGTTGATTTTGATCCTGAGCAGAATGCAAGCATGTGCGTATGTAAATTCCTGAGCATAAAACACGCATAACTACATATAAACAAACCAAACAGCCAACACAGTGAAGTGAAAATGTTCTAGTCCTACATATAAAACACATTTGGGAATTCTCTTCAGCTGAGGAAAGACCAAACTAACATTCCACTGTGCTTCCTCGACTATGACAGAACCACTGGTGCCTTCTTATTTTTTTTGTTTCTAGCCTATTTTCAGAGCTCTACCTAACGCTGCACTGTTTAAAAGGTGTGACGAGGTTTATGAGCAATTCAAAAGAAAATCTTCTTTGCTGCTGAAAAGAGTAGACGGCAACTGAAAATATGGCAGGCATCACAATGATGAAAGGTTCCTTTTTAGTATGCCAACGCGCGCATAAGAGAGGGAAGACACCTATCTAGGTAATAACAAGAAGAAATTGAAAAAGCGAAAGACTGACCTTTATGGCATGCATGTCAATGGCTTCCTCTTGCATGTTTTTCACAAAAAAGAAAATTCTTATAATAAAAATCATTCTCATGGGAATGTTTGATGGAAGCACTGGGGGCTCTGGTTCAATTTTCTGGACTGCTGAATATCAAAAGAATGTCCTTTGTAGTACGTATAATAAAGTCTATGAATAAAACTTCTACTCATCTGCCATTGTGCTCGATACAAATTTCCTGGCTCTCGTATAGAGTGTATTTTCTTAAGGGGACTTATTTGACAAACTCTTCTGTCCCATGAGGCGTAAACTAGTGAAGTGTTGCCGTGTTTGCATTAGTAACGCAAAAGCGCACACTATACGGAAATACAGTCTCATGTGAAACCCCGAGTTTCAGTTTGCATCCATAAAGGATATTGTAGAAAATGTTAGATGTATAACATTTATCTAAACCACCTGTAATACTTCTCTAGATTTTCAGGTGCACGTTAGAGGTGACGGCTCTGAATGTACTGCAGGTAAAACCTCCCGCTCATACATTTCTAAAGCAGTTTAACTTAATATTTGTGAAATATCATCGAGCTCAATAAAATGTCCTGCGCTGGCTGTTTTGGGATGACAATGACTCACCCTCGTGACGTTCTTCACTCGAAATAGACGAGTTATGACGTCCTCGTCCGCTGACATAGACAGGAACTCCACTTCCATTGGCCCGTACTGCTGTAAACCAGGCTCCGGCCAGTACTGGACACATGGCTGCACAAACAACATGGGCAGAGATGAGTTCATTAGTGATTGAGCTTGAAAGAAAATGCATTTTTATGTAGCTGTGGCCATAATACTTGTTCTTAGACCTCTGGATTATCAATTGCTGCTGGTGTTTATTAAAATAAAAGCAGCAGTTGGGTTACTGTGTGTTTTCATGGAATTTAAAAAGCCACACTAGTGTTAGTTAGAGAAGTTAGAGAAGCATTGCGAAGGGAGAGACCTAATGTGCTTTGAGAGATTTCAACAAGAGGGAGACAGAGCACCGCAGCCCAGCAAATGAACTCTATAACAGAGTTTATAACAAGATCTTGCAGTGGACATCTTAAAGTGGCTATAACTCAATTTTCAGACAAGACCCCACGGGCCGAAAGAAACGAGATGAAAACTTTTTAAAGGGGAGTGGATGAAAAGTGGGATTGAATAGGATCATTGCATTTGTTTTATTTTGTCTAGATTAGATAAGGTGCTGCAAAGAACAGCCAGAAAAAAACAGCACAGCACCTATTCTCCACTTAACATGTGTAAACCAACAGTAAAGATGAAATATTCAGAACATTTATTAACATTTTAGCAATGCTCGTCACGGCTTTGGAGGTTATACTGATAGTTTAACGCTTGAGGACAGTTTTTACAAACTGCATTTGGTAGCTTTCACATTTAGTCATAAAAATAATAAGTATCTCTGTCTTAGCATATATATTTATAAATCCAGTATTGTTTGGGCTCTACTTTCTTCCTTCTTCAATTTTTTCCATCTTAGACCAAACGCCTGTTTTTCAAGGATCTGATGCACTGTAATACATATTTCACAAAGTTAATATTTAAAGACGGACTGAAAACCTTGTAAATCTAATGCCTAAAGGACAGAAAGGAGAATGCGTGAGCTATTATCTTCAGTGCCTTTGGCTTTTACAGGTGAACTCTGCAACTCACTCCTTATTCATGCCCATATTCATTATGCAAGACTGTAAATACAAGGTACTATGAGACTATACACAAGTACTTTAAATTGTCCTTCTAGCAGTACTAATAATAAATTGATGAAGGCCAGCGTTATTTGTGTTGCAGACTTATGTATTTAAATTGTTTTTGACTCTTGTAGGCTGCATCCTTATTGTAGGACTGTTCTCACTTGTTTTGAATGCTTTCCCTTGGGCTACATTACTGGACTGCAAAGATTTCTTCTTCCTTTATTGCCAAACTGATGAGACCCAGTTGTACCTGTCCCGCAAGCTTAATTATTCAGCAACCTCGTTCTCTCTGCACAACTATTTATGTGCCATTAAGGACTGGAAGCTTGCCAATCTCCTTAAGCTTAATTCCAACAAAATGCAGTCAGGTTGTGCCAGCTTTTGGCTCTTTCACAGACTATGCGTTTCCTTCTGCTACAACTCGAGGAGTTACATTTGATCAGCTTCTCAGTCTGGTTTCCTATATTACTACCACAAGCTCATTAAATCCTGTTTCTTCCAGCTGACAAATGGCTTGAAGAGTGAAATCATTACTTTTCTTTAGGGACACAAAAGCAAACTACACGCTTCATGTTTGCTCAATGCTTATAATGATTTCTTATGTCGTAATCAGAAGAAACTATGTGAAAGATATGATTATGCATGACCACATGGAAAAGATAGGTCTGCTGGGGTAGAGAAATCCATAATAACTTTTCAGCATATTGTTGTTGTTGTTAATTAGCCTTCCGCGCTCCCCGTGGGTTCTGTTTTAAGACTTTAGAAAATGGCAATAACGTGTGGCAGTCACAGATCTTATCTGTTCAAATTCCATGACAGTTTATTTCTTTTTTTTTTTTGCCTAATGTCATCTTAAGCCCTTATTCACCTGCTCCAACCACATGAAATAGCTAGTGTTCAGGATTTAGCCTAGCAAAGACTTTAAAAGTCCTGAAGGCTAAAAAGGACAAGTAATGACCACTAATCTCATATTATGTTTCCCCTAATTATTTTTAATATTGTTGGTTTAAAAATAATTGAAACCAAATTATTTTTAAAAAAAATTATATGCTCGTGAAAAAATGTGAGCTAGTTAAAAAAAATCTAAGATGTGGCTGGAGGGTAATGCAAGCCTATTCTTCAGAGATGTAGCTTGAGAAGGGAAGGAAAAACTGGGGCGAGCGTTATCTAGTCATGCCTTGAGATCAATGTGGTCAGGGATCAAAGCCCAACAAAATAGCATGAAAGAACTAATCCCGAGCACAGTAAGATACAGAAACTGTACAGGCGGGGGATGTCAGGGAAAGTCTCGAATAAACTTCATACAACCCCAAGACTGAGAGTAAAAACTTGCACAGCAAACAGTGGCTCCTCTGTGTGTGTGCGTGCTCGCGTGCGTGTGTGTGTGTCAGATCTCAAATGTTTTAAGACATCTCTCTCTTTTTTCAGTGTCAACAAATCAATGGCAATAAAAAGTACCTAACACTTTGACCTTACCCAGGCAGAGTTTGACTGATTTAGCTGGTTGAGCATGACCACTGCCGTGCAGCCGTAGTCAAAAACCAGCCGCCAAAAATCGGCCGTGGTGCCCGGCAGAGGGTGAGGGGTCACAATGAAAGCAGCCTGCCGGTGGAAGCTGTCAGCGAGAGCAGCGTTGATGTAATTGTTACTCTCCCCTTCTGTCGTGACCAGGAACGCAAGGGCGCGATCGGGCGGGAGGACATCCATGCTGCGGTTCTTCTCTCGGTTTCTGGGTAAGAGAGCAATGCTGCACTCCTCCACATCCACGTGGGGAGTCACAGAGTTCAGCGTCTGAAAATGGAAATGTGTAAGAGGCCAGGTGAGAGGAAGGTGAGGATAAAGTGAAATTTGAGAAACCATTTAAAAGTGGAATATGTGAGGGGTGATGAGGCACTGCAGAGAAGTCTGAGATCTTAGGAAAGAGAAGGAGGTAGAGGAAGTGAACGAGACAGGAGGAGGGAGGACTGGAAAAAAGAGAATACAAAAAGACCAATGATGGTAATTGGTTTAGTCTTTGATACACTGAGCATCAGCAAACTAACTTAAAAGGAATAAAGCATAAGATTGGCAAACTGCGTAACAAAGCTGAGTGCAATAAAACAAATAAAAAAGAAATGTTGCATACTAATTATCCATAATGAATTTAATCATTATTACATTAAACAACTTGAAAAAAAATATTTGAATAATTAATGTACAGCATCAATAATAGATCTGTGACTTGCTGATCTCAGTGCTACCAATTGGCTGTTAGCCACAGGATGACAGAGTAAAAGGCAAACACAGCTCTTTGGTTGGTAGGGAGGCTTTTAGCATCAATGCCTGACAGAGAAGTTTACAGGATCAAAGCAGGGAGTGAAACACTTTCCTATATGAAAAGGTAACTGCTCCCTACATACATCCATCATAATTTATACAATATGCATATTTTATGAGGATTAAATGGCACAAAATCATAAGGAGAAGCGCAAGTCTTTTTCAGAAGCACTTTGAAATGCTAAGTCACAGTGTGTGCTGGTTGAGCAGCGAGCGGCAGAGGAAGGTGAATGAAGCAGGTAAAGCGTTTGGGAACACAGCTGGCTCTCCTGTCTCCTAATCAAAACCTAATAAAATCTTCTGAGAGCACATTCCTTTAAACCACTCGAGGGGACATAAGTGGCAAAGAATAACAATGGAAACTAACATCATGTTTCATGTACGCACACATACATTATAGATGCAAACACGCCACGCAGAGATATCTATTAGTCTGTTCCTTTATGCGCTCTTTGTCGAACTGATGTGTGCGCTACAAAGAGCATCTTCGTCTCTGCATGCGTGTCTGTGTGTTTATTTGTTTTTCCCAAACAACCGTTCATCCTTTCTCCTTCATATCTGACAGGCGTGTTTGAAGTTGTTTGGATGAGCAGTTCACATATTTTGGTTAAAAGTGGACTGCATGTGAGATATTTATGGAACACTTGTGTGGTGTAGCTGCAATTACCGTGAATATATTCTCAACCTGTGGGAAACCACGCAGTGGAATCCAGGCACACTGAAAACACCTGCTAAAATAGTCATGTGAAAAAGAAAGTTTTCACGGGACAGTGCTGTCCGATGAAATGCTAACGGCACCTTCCTGTTTCTTTAAGAATTAAGAGGGTAAGTAGCAGCCGGGTGCTGCTAATCATCTGCACTTGGCTAATTGATCATCAACAATCGTGAGCACCTGTAAAAGCACATGTTTTGGCTCTTTGGTGCTCTGGAGGGTTTAAGTGTGTTAACACGTGGGATGTCCCCTCTTTCCGAGAAGCAGACATCTCAGGAAAATTCACCCTACGGTCAGAGTGCTCAGAGAAACTGTAAAAGATCCAAAAGCTGCTTCTCAGACTCTGCAGTCCTCAGCTAGCATGTTAAATGTTAAAGTTCATGACAGTACAATTAGAAAAAGACTGAACAAGTATGACTTGCTTGGAAATTACCTAAATTTGAGTTCCATCTGAACAAACCACAAGATTTCTGGAACAATGTCCTTTGGACAGACCAAAGTGGAGATGTTTGACTATAATGCACAGCACAACGGCACAAACACCTCATACTAACTGTCACAGATGGAGGTAGAGGTGATGATTTGGGCTTGTTCTGCAGCCACAGGAGCTGGGCGCCCTGCGGTCATTGAGTTGACCGTGAGCTCCTCTTCGTACTAACGTATTCTAGACTTAAATGTTAGGCAATTTATTTGACAGCCAACGCTTGGTTGAAACTGGATCATGCAACAGGACAATGATCTCAAACACAGCAGCAATTCTGTAACAGAATGGCCCAAAAAAAATCAGGGTGTTGCAATGATCCAAGGTCCAAACTTCCGGCTGATTGATGGTTTGATTGCTGTGGATAAATGAATGCCTGTAAACCTCAATGAAATAAAGTAATCTTATAATGACGAGTGGACTAACAAAGTCATACAGAAAACAATTCAGCTTCATGTTATTGTTGCTGACGGTGCTTATTGAACCGTGAGATACACTATTTTCACATAACTAAAGTGGCCCAAATTTCTGTCTGTGATCGAGTTTTGTCTCCTCTCTCATGCTCATTTCTGTTTATTATCTGAGTTGTCTCTATGTTGGTCCTTTCTGTCTTCACTTTCACTTCACTCCCCCGAGAACATGGCTGGCTCTCCCTGAGCCTGCTGTAGCTGGAAGGACTGTTTGATCGTTGGTGTGCTCTCTCGAATATTCTGGGGTCTTTACCTTACAATAAAAATCGCCTTGAGATGACTGTTGTTGTGAACTGGTGATATATGTTAAAAAAAAAGAACAAAAGAATTGAACTGAATTGAATCAACTGCCTGCAGGCGAGGGTGTTTAGGGAACACTGGTTACAGCCTGAATGTGAGATGCTGAGAGAGCACTGGAGTTAAAGCATTGGCAGACAGCCTGAAACTCACAACCTGTGAGATACATTTATCTTACTTTCAGCTAAAGAAAAGTAAGTGCATGTCCGGTGACTGTGCTACTATCTGAATATCAGCCAAACAATATTAACTAAATTGAGCAAACCTACACTACATAACTACAAATGACTTCTAACTTGTACACAGTGGATCATTATTATGGCTCATTCTGACTTTGCAGCAACACTGACCTGAAACTCCTCTCGAAGCTGAGAGGAATTACTCTGAGAATCCACTCGCAGCATCTCTTTGTAAGTGACAGCAAACTCATTCACCAGGATGGCCGTCTCTCCGCACAGACACGCCTCTAGAATAGCATCATGGATGAAGATATACTGCTCCTGAAAAGACAGCAGGTGACATAATTTAGTTCATCGTTCTGGCTTTTGAATAACACATCAAAATATGTTATCTGAAGGTTGTAAGCAACCAGATGCTAAACACTACAAATGACGCAGGTTAAAACAGAAGCAGGTGAGAAACGTAAGTAGTTGTAAATAAATAATCGAATAATAGTCAGAATGGGAGAAATCTTTCATAACCCGCCTTGTTCTGAATTAAACATGTGCTTTAATGTTAGTGGTGTATCAAGGCCGCTAGAGAATAAATAAATATTTATTTGTAAACAAACACATGCAGTGTGCATTTAATTAGTGCGCCCCTGCAAATAGCTACAAATGCAATAAACAGCCAAGTCAACGTTGGATTTACATAATAAGAGGTAAAAATGCAAATTATGTGCACATCAAAGAACAGCACGTGCCTACACAGCAAACTGACAAAGAGACAGTCTTTTCTCTAAAACTTTAGCCGTGACCTTTACATACATCTAGAAGTGGGAGTATGGAAATGTACCCCCCTCACTTTTTGAATTCCCAAACAACAGAAGGAAAAAAGGAATTTTTACAAGCTTGGCTTTTCTGGGGGGGTTTGAGAAGATTATATTAAGGATCGAGATGTCACCTGCTAAATATGTGACATGTGCAAGAAATTGTGATTTCCTGGCTGCACTGCTGTCCTCACCTCCGTTTGAATCATGTTGATACGTCGAGAGCAGAGGGTTTTGACGCAGTTGTAGATATCCACCACGCCCTCACACTCGGCCATGTCCAACATGACATCCAGCACAATGTAGCAGCCGGTGCGACCTGCCCCCGCACTGCAATGGAAAGACCATCTTTTATAAGGAATTGTGTCTTAAAACATTAAAGGTCTGTGCATAGGATATGAGGGACCCATTGGCACAAATGGAACATAATATAATCATTGTGTTATAAATAAGTAATCAATATTGTTTAAATGGCTAAGAATGTGACAGATCTGCCCAATCTTATATATCTACAAAATGCAAGTACATGGGTCAAAAGTTCTCATACACTCATGGGCATGAATGTCATTGTAATTTGGGGCTTTTAATGAGCTGTTCTTTTTCCAGATGGGATTGACTGGACAGCATACATCTTTGGTGGCTTTAAAAAACAAGAAATGGCTGCTCAAGTTTGAATTTATTTTGGATTTTCTCTCATCTACACAGGGTCAAAGGTATACATATAGGCTGAAATATAGACATACTCCCCAAAATCTTTTAATTATTGGTGATTAAGATTTTAAGATGTCTCTAAACTTGCCTATTAACTACTCAGTAATGATCAGGATGGAGTACAACTCACATTATCTCTTTGCAGTATAAAAAGGATTTGTTTGAAAGGAGTCACTGTACTGGCTGATACTCAAAGCAATGGGAAAGTCTAAAGACCTCGGTGAAGATCTAAGAAGGTGAATTGTAGAGTTACGCAATTTGGAAAGTATTCTTAGAGCCATTTCTAAATAACTGCATAATACAAGATCATCAGATCAAACAAGTTATTCGGATGTGTCACTACTTTACCCGGGTTTAGAAGAAGAAAGTTGCCACCCCAGAGGAGAGGAAGTTAGGATGTTCAGGAACAACTCAAACAATAAGACTCAAGCCTACATGAACCATGAACTGGAAACTGCTGGAAACTTCAGTCAATGTCCACATTGAAACAAACTTGAAGAACTGTGGAGTTGTCAAACAAGAATGAAGCCTCTGCTTCAAAACTGTCACCTTCAAGCTCAACTGAAATTTCTGGCTGCCCACATGAACAAGCCGAAACCGGAGAAAGGTCTTATCGTCAGACGTTTATTGTCAGAACTATTAGTGGGGACGTATATATAAATATATTTGACCCTGTGAGCATCAGAGAAAATCCAAGATAAATTCAAACTTGCAAACTCAATTCTTGATTTTTTAAAACATTAAATATGTTTGCTGTACAATTCTTCCAACCCCGAAGAAAAAAAAGTTGAAAGAAATCCTTAAAAGCGCAAAATTACCATCACATTCATGCCCATGTTAGAGCGACACATAGATATCTTATAGTAGAGTGCAGCGGTTTAGTGAGAGAGAGAGATTATACATATCTGTTACGCCAACATAATGTATAACAGTTATAAATACAAAAGTTTATCAAAAGGTTATTAAAACATATATATAGCACTTGCAAGGGCTTACGGTACCTGCAGTGAACCACGACAGGGCCAGCATCAGGTGGCGTAGAAGCTTTAACCCTTCGTATAAAAGCCAACAATCCAGTGGCATGATAGGGCACCCCGTGTTCAGGCCAGGATGTGAAGTGGAACTGACGTACCTCATGCTTGGTCGAGTATCCTCTCTTTTAACGGAAACACAGTGCACGTTAGTAGTTCAGGGAAAAAACAAAAACCATTGGCATTCTAATGCTAGCAATAGCCTACAGGCCTTGATCTCGCAGAAGATATGCTACAAACTATTCAGAGACTTTTTCCCTCTGTGATAGATGTGACAAATTTTTTTGGTTCAGAGTGAGGACACCCAGGACATTATTTACGCGGGGCGTTAGGTCTTCTAGGACAGTTAGGCCTCTGGGCCCCACATGTTAGGAGCAGCTGCAATCTGACAGATGTGCAGAAAGGAATTACTAAGGCTCTAGGGAGCTCAAGGAGGGGTAGCAGC